TCAAATTACAACTGTGTTTCAAATTCTCTTTCCCTAGCAAGTTTTTTAGTATTAGTTGAACTTCTATCAGATATGGTTTCTATAGTCAGCACCATAAACAAATGAATGAGACATACACAAACAAAGCATCATTCTACCTCGGATTATCTATTTATTTTATGGTCCTCCCTTCTGTAAAACCTATTAGCACACGCTAAGACCACCATCTAAAAGCCTGTGATTGTTTTAAAATGAACTCAAAGAACTTTTGAGCCAAAGGAAATAAAAAACCAGTTCAAGCCTATTAGGAAATGTCTCATAAAATTGAACTCTTCAGTCAATTTCTTGCTAATATCTTCTAATGAATGTCTTCAAGCTCACGTTCAAGTTAAGATGTTCAGGATATAGGACGGATCCACAATGATTAAAATCGTTTTGTGCATCAAGGTCTTGTCCATGAAGCAGCTGCTTACTGTGACTGTGGTGCCCAGGCCACTTCAAGCAACAACACTGCCTTGCGTGGGGTTTAAGAGAGTCATTATTTGAGAACCCAGGCAGTCCGGGTTGCTAATCACCAGAACAAAGAGGGAAAATGAGAAGAGCACAGTCATACCACAGTCATCAGCTTTCTTTGAAGTCTCCCAGCACCAGTGGAGATAATCGAAAGTAAAGGAGGGACCACATGAAATTGGGAAACCTTGAGTCAGCTTCAGATCTGCCACTTACATTCCCTATGATCATGGGATGGAGTTTCCTCATCTCCCAACTGAGCAGTGAGCCAAGCCCTTACAATTAGCTCTAGCATTCTTTTCTATGAAATGAATTAACAACTACAATTTACCTCAGCCTATTTTTCCCTAATCAAAGCAAACAAGCTCTGCTTTCTTCAACATCCTGTGGCATATTATCCTGTTGCCCTCTCTCAGTATTCTTGATTTTCTTTTTTTTAATAATAAATTTATTTTTTATTGGTGTTCAATTTGCCAACATACAGAATAATGAAGATATTATTATTATTAATGAAGATATTATTACCCAGTGCTCATCCCGTCAAGTGATTTTCATTGGATTCTCATCAGGTAAAAACCACATTCCAGGGGTGCCTGGGTGGCTCAGTTAAGTGTCTGACTCTTAATTTCAGCCCAGGCCATGATCTCAGGGTTGAGGGATCGAGCCCTGCATCAAGCTCTGTGCTGAGCATGGAATCTGCTTGGGATTCTTCTTCTCCCTGTCTCTCTGCCCCATCCCGGACTCGTGCAAATTCTCTCAAAATAAAACAAAACCAACAACTGCATTCCATCTTTGGTAGGTGCAAGGCTTCTTGATGGTATTCACCTGCATGCATAGGCCTTCCTTATCTTCCCATAGCAAAGTTTTACAAAATACACGAATACACGGTGTCATTTATCTTCAAGTATCTCATACGTGAGGTAACTACTTTAATATTCATTACCTTTCTCATAATAATATTTCTATTATCTCACAATGATTAATAATAAAAGTACCACTGATTAAGAATTGATGCACCCGATACTACCAAAGCAATCTAAGTATATTCTCTCAACCTAAATATGTATATGTACATATATATATATATGCAGACAGACACATATATACCATTATTAAGCTCATACAGAAGAAACTGAGAATCAGAAAACATTGTCTAAAATCACATAGCTTCGGGATCCCTGGGTGGCGCAGCGGTTTGGCGCCTGCCTTTGGCCCAGGGCGTGATCCTGGAGACCCGGGATCGAATCCCACGTCAGGCTCCCGGTGCATGAAGCCTGCTTCTCTCTCTGCCTGTGTCTCTGCCTCTCTCTCTCTCTCTCTCTCTCTCTCTCTCTCTCTATCATAAATAAATAAAAATAAATAAACTGGTTATTTAAAAAATAAATAAATAAATAAAATAAAATCACATAGCTTCTAATTTGTAGGGGTTGAATTTGAGCCAGATCCTCCCATGTTTTTAAATACTCTGAGCACAGTTCAGTGTCGATGGTCTCTAAAAAGCAATGTATATAAGAAGTTATTTTCAAAAATGCAAAATAAGCAGTGTGAGATCTTGGAAATAACAGAGAACTTAGAGAAAAGTGTCCCGGGTCCCTTTTGGGGTCCTGCTGATGTCTGGCTATGCCATCTTACACAAAATATTCATCTTTCCCAAGACCTCAATTTCCTCTTGTAGAATAAGGGATTCCAAGGTGACAATCTCTAAGGTTCCTTCTGGCTCTACGGAGGAATGATTTGTTTCTGAAAGGCATTGTTTCTACAATGAGGAAAAATACTCAGAATTTCAACTATTCAAAGCAAAGGTAACATCCTCTCTTGAGGCAAGAAAACAGCTATCATCAAGGCATCTTCAGACCTTAGTTACAGGGACGATCTTAGTAGATCTTTCCCTGCAGTTCCTTCCTTCCAGCACGGGTCTTTTTACTTAATAGCACATATCACAGGCTGTGATTACAGACTGATTTGTGTGGTAGACTGTAAGTTCCCAGCAGGTGAGAGGGCCATGTCAGTCTGCTCACCGTTGAATCCCTGCCTGGTACCCAGCACAGGGCTTGGCATGAAAAACCAGCTCAGTAACATTTGTCGACTAGATCGATTTTAAGAGGGGCTCCTGGCTTCCAGGTTTTCCATACTGGATGATTTAGAGCTAATATTTCTTTTTGTCTTTCCTAAAGAGGTCTGGTGATGAGTCTTTCCTGCCACAGGGAAGATGTAATTAATTAATTTTCTCTTAGTTCCCAGCGTGTAAGAGAAGCTAGTGACAGGTGCTGCCTCCCACAAATCTACAAATCACAGCAAACACTTTGGGGTTCCAATATTCCTTTTCCTAACCCCTTCCCAACAAATACTAAAGATGACAATAGGCACATTTGTATCGATGCAGTCATTTAAATCTTGCTTGAAAGAAAGTAGTAAGCTGAGGCTTCCTAATTTAGAAGGGATGGGTAAATCAATCCTTTTGTGCTTGGTGTTCTTGGCAAGAACCAGCTGCAGAAGTACTCCTGTCCCCTCTATGGGCTCTACAGACAGGCCCACACAACCTCACTCATATTTCAGCCTGGAATGTGCAAGGAAGAGCAGCCACAGCCACTTGGGGAACCAGGGGTGGTGGGTTTGTGAACTGCCTCCTGTCTCATCCTGTCACTTACCCCTTGGGATGTGAGATTATAGGGCCATGGGGCTGTGGGGGCTGTAGCCCAGCATGGCTGAGGCTGTTGGGCAGCCACACAGCAGTGGCTTCTTGGCAAGGGACAGTTCAGTCTCCGACCACACGGAAAGCAGACATGCTGACTACAGCATGGAGCAAAGAAAATGAGAGCTTCTGCCTGTGTCTGGTGGGCTAGGATGAGAGGAGAGGAAAGGAGGGGGCGTTGGGGCGCGTGCCAAGCTGGGCTGTTGATGAAAGTGTGGGAAGATTCCAGGGGAGGCATGTTGCCAACTCGGAGGCAGTTGGGCTGATTTCTTTCCCCTTTCTTCTGCTTCAATGAGAATTCCTGCTGGGTGGGGTAGGAGCAGAGCCAAGAAAGGAGTGATTTGCTGGGTAAGCATGGACGCTCGGACCTCGGAAGTATGTGTCTGCCCACTGGGACCAGGGCCAGGGGAGGAAGGAGAAGTTAAATGAGGGGAACTGAGGGGCAACGGGAATAAAGGAGAATAAAAGAAGGACACAAAAGCAAATGTCCTATGAGAAAGAGAAAACAGGAAAGCGAGACAGCAGATCATGTAGACAGGGGAGAGACACAGTTCTGTGCCATAGAGCAAGCCTACCTCCCTCCTAAATGTCAGAATGAAATAATGCTCAAATGAAACAAGCAGCGAAAGACCACAGGGTACAGTAGAAAGTAAACCTACTGCTCCTAAGTTTTTCTGGTGGCTGTTCATTGCCATGAGAATACCTGCTTCCCAAAGAGCAGATGTTGCCTTTTAGGCAAAACAGAACAAGCAAAATGTTAACACGGAAAGCCACATACTACTTCTAAAGATTAGTAGAATATCATTTACAAGTATTTCCTTACAAAAAAAAAAAAAAGATGAAACACCAGGGTCCTTAAATTGCTCTTCTCGGCCTTTCTGATAAAATATTACAAACATCAAGATCCTCTTGCAAGAAAATCTAGAGCAGGTTAAAATGACAAATGTCGATGAAGTGAGTTCTACTGTGAAGTGATGCCACTTTTAGAGCTTTCTGAGGTCCCTTTGTGGAGATCTGTGAAGAGCTGTAAGATCATCAAGTGAATGTGGCATTTTTTGTGACAATCCCACAAGTTACATGCAGCCCCAGGACCAGAATCCCACCAGCTTCAATGTCCTACAGAGACAAAGGTATATTTTGGCTTAAGTGTCTATAGGACAGATTTGGTTATTGATTGATGAAAAATAGAAGACCCAAGGCATCTGGGTGGCTCAGTCAGTTAAGCGTCTGCCTTCGGCTCAGGTCATGATCCCAGGGTCCTGGGATCAAGTCCTACGTTGGGCTCCCTGCTCAGTGAGGAGTCCGCTTCTCCCTCTCCCTCTCCCTCTGCCACTCCCCCTGCTTGTGCCCTCTCTCTCTCTCTCTCTCTCAAATAAATAAATAAAACCTTAAAAAAAATAGAAGACCCCAAATCTTCCTCTTCCCAGGTTTCAAGAGGCCTTGCAAACTTCCTTTCTCCCTCTTAGACTTCAGCCACCACCATGTGAACAAGCCTAGGCTAGCTTGATAGAATCTGAGAGGCCACATAAAGGCCAACCTAATGGTGCTAGCCCATCATTATTGACCAGACCCCAGTCAGCTGATCCCCAAAGACGTTAAAACAAAAAAAACCCCAAACCAGCTAAGATCAGTGAGGCAGTCCCCCCAACTCATAGCCAATGACAAATATGAGTCAGCACAGCTGAGACCAAAGGAGCTGCTCAGCTGACCCACAGATTCATGAGCAATAATCAATAAATGTTTTAAGCCATGGAGCTCGGGGATCTCTCTTACACAGCAAGAGATAACTGATCCAATTACTCACAAACTGGAGACTCACCTGTGCATTCGTACTGCAGACCTTTCCCATAATAGCCCTTCTCACAGACACACTCAAACTGACCCGTGTGTGTCCCACATTTGCAGCTTGCCATGCGGTCACAGCACTCCTTGCCAGCTTCACACAGATAGGAGCAATGGGACATATCCTCTTGAATAAAACTCCCAGAGGGCAGATCTATCAGTGACATATGACAGAGGGTAATAAAAAACTGATTAGCAGCTCGATGTCACATTCTCTAGTTACTAAAATTTAGGTACAAGTTGCAGAAAACATCTTTTCATATCCGTCCAATTCCCAACTGCACCCCACTCCCGCCCAAACATGAATGTGTGTTATTTGCACCACCACAGGCTGGGAATTTGTTTCGGCCAGTTAAGCTATTTCAGTCTGGGACCTCATCATAAGCTTTCGAGGCCATGCAGGGTCAGGCAGAAATTAAGCGCTTCAGCAAGGAATCTCCAGATGCGGCAGGAAGTAACATAGTCGATGCCACAGGTCACTCCCCTGGCTTCCACGCCAGCAGTGTTCCACTGCTTCAGTATGAGGTCAGGCAGCAGTAACTAGATTTCCAAAACCCTTTTTCCAAAAGATAAATAAAATTACAATCTTGACTGCCGCACGAGAGTTCTGATTATGGGCTGCTGGCTTTAGATACCATCATTTCTATACTTACTGGATAAAGACTTAGCAACCCCACACAGGTGAAATCATAGAATCAGAATATGGCTTATTTCTCAGTTGTGAGTAACTTATCATGTTTTATGTGAATGGAGATCATGCTGATTACTTGAGCCATGTTCTGAAGTGAGGCATGCTGAGAATTCAATAACTCAGGCAGAGTTGTCGAGAAAGTGATTTCACAGGGTCACTGGCTGATCCAGAATGAATGGCCTAGAATCAGGCAAATAATAGGTTCCATTCACTCTGTTGAAGAAATTCAAAAGTCTTAGCCCAAATCCCTGGGCTGGTGCTCGGACCAGATATAGCGATGGGCCCCTCCTGGGAACTCAGATGTGGGAGTTCCAACGAGACACATGCACTGCAATTGAATATCTGGCAAGAAGATTGGTGATGGCTTCATTTAGGGAACATCTGTGTCTATTCATTAAGACTCTGAACAATACGCAGGGGCAAAGTAAAAAGAAGACGCCAGCCCCAAGGGAAAGAGACCAGTACAATCAGGTACCCTATTAAAGCTCCATCTAACAGACTGTGGTGTGGGTAAAATGTCTGCAACATGAACACTTAGTTCTAAGGCACTGGGCCATGAGACGATTTGGCAATAGAGCAGCTTAGGAAGCAGAAAGATCTAGCTACCAAGACTGGTACACTGGCATTCAGGTATGGGGGAGGTTAAGTATATGTTTACACGTGGGGAAAACTATTATTCTGCAACCTATGTTGATTGAGGATGGCCAGAAGCAGGCTGACCTGCTTCTTCTGAACATGGATGGTCTCGAGACCAAAAGTGGATCTGTCCAAGTTGAAAGTAGCTTCACAGAACTTAAGGGCAGGGAAAATGAGACTCATTTCCTTTGATTTGATGTCTTTGCAGTAGGAACAGGATCTTTCCTTACCAAACCTGGAAACTCAATCGGAGAATTATGCATTCTGGATATTTGCTTATTGTAAAAGTGATGCCTTCCAAAACTCTGTTGCAATATTGTAACCAAAAGAACATTCTGTCCCACCGAGCTTCTGGTTCAACTTGGCCTTAGAGTTCTAGAAGAGCCCACTCCTAAGAGTAGAGGAATGGTATGACTGGAAATTAGTCCTCTACAACACAGCAGGTAACACCCATGATTTCAGAATCCATTTAGTCACAGCCACCCAGCCTTTCCACTCAACCTATCACTTTTCCCTGAGAAAAGGAGAAACAAAGGAAGCCCCAGAGTTACTGAACTGCTGCCATGTAATAACACTATACTTGGTAATACTTAAATATTTTATTTAATCCTCTTGACAAAACCATATGGTACACATTCTAATACTTCCATTTTAAAAGTAGAGGGGGACTCCTTGGTGGCTCAGTGGTTGGGAATCTGCCTTTGGCTCAGGTCATGGTCCTGGGGTCCTGGGATCAAGTCTCTGCATCAGGCTCCCCGCAATGAGCCTGCTTCTCCCTCTGCCTATGTCTCTGCCTCTCCCTGTTTGTCTCCTGTGATAAATACACTCTTTAAAAATAATAAAATAAAAAACAAAAGTAGAGGAAGTGAGGCTTGTAGATATTAGATAAATTGCCGAAGGTAATAATAATAGTGGACAGTTAATGAGGGCTTCGGCTAATATGCGTTTGGTAATTTTTCTAATCATTTTATATGTATTAACCTATTTAATCCTTGTGACAATCCTATAGAACAGGTACTCTTCTCATTCCCTATTCTATTTACAAGAAATCTAAGGGGTAAAAAGCTAAATAACTTGCCAAAAGCCACTCAGCCAGTAGGTGACTAAGATTTTTTGCTGTGTCCATAGTTACTCTGAGATCCTACTCTTTTTTTTTTTTTTTTTTTTTTTTTTGAGATCCTACTCTTAAATGCTTCTCTTGGAACAATGATAGGGCTGACCTGCTTCTTCTGAACATCACTAATTGCTTGAAACTTCATGTGGCCATGATTTGCCCATCAAACTGAGTCTTTCACATGGATACCTGCAGGGATCAACTTGCTGTTTGGCTTTGGTCTCGGGCTGGATCTCCTGTCGTTTCCTCCCAATCCATACTTCCCCTCGTGACTTACAAAGACACATGCCCATACCATGCCTGGAGGTTCGTCTAACCTAAATCATACAACTAAATATCCTTACAAATGGAGTATGAAGAACTCTACTAAATGGGTTTACCGACTTCATTCCTTTTTGTGGTAATGCTCTTCAACTTGTACATAATCTTACGTGTCTTAGAACTGTCAGGTCAAGAAGTATGCATTAAGTGTTTATTGTCCTTACATCTTCATGTCTATTTCTGGAAACATTCTGGTGAGATTCACGATACATGTCTCTGAATGTTTACTCCCCCTCTCCAGATAACTGTAAATAGATCTAAGTCAAGGCTTCCCGCTCTGTGTGTGGCCTTAAAACACACCTAAATTCATTCCATTGATTCTAACAGTTCCAGGTGGGAGCAGACGGGTAGTCTAGTGAAAATCCATCCCAGCTGTTAAAAAACAAAATAAAGCAAAGCAAATACTCTTGGTGCATGTCAGACTGTCACCTCTATTTAGGAAGCTCAACACAGCTCCTGCTACACTGAGGATACATGGGCATCCTGCTCAGTGAAGACTTTCATAGGGTTTGGTATTAGCCTCTAAGGGGTTTTCAGCCCTAAGAGAGAAGGAACTCCCATTTAAATGCATCACGTCAGGCCACTGGGTCTCCCTTACCTTCATGCAATGCACGGCGAGCTAAAGCCTCAAATTCTTCAAAACTGTGGAGAAGGTAGCAGTGCTCTTCCTTTGGGGTGGAAGCCATGTCATTTAGTTCTCGAATGTTCCCTTGCCATATGCCAAACGTGAAGATCTCTACTCCAAAGTCTCGCAGGGATGCTGCGACTGGCCTGGGGTCTCCCCCATTGGAATATCCATCAGTAATGAGGAATATAACTTTTGTTGAGTTTTCTCTAGAGTGACGAAGAATTTGCTGTAATGAAATAAAGTTAGCATGAGTTGGCATTGTGTTGGCCTATGTGCTTCCCTTCTTACATAAAACAGCATTTGTGAAGATCGTTAGCATGTCACAAGAGGGAGAACAAATACGGATCATTGAGAGTAAAACAGAAATAGGCACAGACTAGCACCCGCAATAGTCTTCTCACAGACCCACAAAAAAACCTAAAAGCGCTTACAATGGGTCATTATCATCAGTGGCAGCATGCTCATCACTGCCATGAACCTTGGTAATGAAGAGCAGCACATGTTTATGGAATGAGCTCTTACTCATATTATCACTTATTGTTAAAACTACTTTTTATGAATTTTCAGGCTCTCAACACACAAGCCAAATCTGAATCCTATGTGTCTATTTCCAAGTATATCCAGCTAGTTGCCCATCCACCTAGTTAGCTGAACCATCCCATGATCATACATCAAAAGCCTACTTAGAAGAAAATGTAACAGAAAATGTCTTTTCCAGAGTTAATAATGGCCAACCTACTTTCCATATTTGTTTTTCCACTGCTCCTCCACAACTGTAGAATTCATTCAACCCTTTATCTTTCCTGGACCACCCAGCATTAGCACAAAATCAGCTGGTTTTGGTGCTGTCCTATCTTTATGAGAAAATACTGATTTATTCAATCTGACACTTGGGCTTTATTTTATTTTCGAACAAGTGAGTTGTGCTTTATAATGTTATATGTTATCCCTCCTCTATAGATAGAAGGGAAAAAGTGAAACCTTTTTTATTTTTTTTAAAAAAGGCATCTATTTATTGCCATTGATGCTCCGTAATATCGAACTGTGACAGCACAAGGAATCCAGCGGTGAATCTGACATTGTAATTAAATTGGCTGTTTTGCTTTTCATCAGAATTGGATAGGAAAGATAAAGAAGTGCCAGGGTATGTTTTCTGGCAAGTTCTTAGAAAGAATTCAATGTCTATTAGGCAATAATTCACGTACATTCAGTAGGTAGGAAGAACGACAATCATATCCTATGTTTTGCTAAAATTAAAAGGAGATGATAGGATTAAAAAAAAATAACAGCCTCAATTCACTTTAAGGGGCAGACTCAGCTACAAGCTCCAGATTCTCTCAGATTGTAAGATCCATGTCTCCATTAATATATGATTCATAGCTATTTATTCTAATTTAATGACTCCTACCAAATGTTACTGCTGTTTGTGAGCTAAAGATAAAGCCATTAAACATGAATTTAAAGACAATTCAATTAAACTAAAAATGACTTTGGAAAACATCTGGAAAACCAGCAATTTGCAAAGAAGTATTCAAACACTTCACCTCCCTCTCTCAAAAGCCTACTACAGCTAAGGACCAAAGAGAATCCGAAAGCAGCTTGAAGAAGCTCCTTCTGGCCAAATAAAGGGCAATCTGAGTATCAATAAAAATAATAATTGAAGTAAATTTAAATGCATCATACATATTTACATTTTATCACAAACATTTACATTTAAATGTGTATAAACATTTATAGTTTCAGTTAGATCACACTGCAGGTGAAAAGCCCTATTGGGATGCCTGGGTGGCTCAGTGGTTTAGCATCTGCCTTTGGCTAAGTTCCTGATCCTGGGGTCCCGGGATCAAGCCCCTCACAGGCTCCCTACAGGGAGCCTGCTTCTCCCTCTGCCTGTGTCTTTACCTCTCTCTGTGTGTCTCTGGTGAATAAATAAATGAAATCTTTATTTATTTTTTTTTCAAGAGTCACACGTATCTCATTTTATTTATTTATGATAGTCACAGAAAGAGAGAGAGAGAGAGGCAGAGACACAGGCAGAGGGAGAAGCAGGCTCCATGCACCAGGAGCCCGATGTGGGATTCGATCCCGGGTCGCTAGGATCACGCCCTGGGCCAAAGGCAGGCGCCAAACCGCTGCGCCACCCAGGGATCCCTAAATGAAATCTTTAAAAAAGAAAAGAAAAACCCTATCAATACAAACAATAATTGGAATGGCCTGAGATATACACACACCCACACACTTTTTTCATTCAGGACAACCTCTGAGGGGAAATCCAATGATCTGTGATGGGAGGCCTGAAGTGAGACATTATTCTATTTGTCTTTAAAGTTATACAACAGGCTTCGAAGGGTAACTCCTAGTTCCAGTAGTCCAAGATGTGGCAACTTGTGTTTATACTGGCTTTGCTTTTTACCACGTGATAAACTCTCCCTTTCTGAGTTGTTCTACTCTGAAATCATAACCTAACCTCCACAGACACTCCCCTAAGCTTCTGCTCATTTCGATTACTCTCTCTTCTACAAGACCATGGGAGCAAACTGTGAGCAAGACACTAAGAGAGTGAGAATTTGGATGGAAGTAGAAGAGAGGGAAAAAAAGCAAACGGTCTTGTTCAGTGTGGTACTCTGGTGACATTGTCCAGCACAGAGTACGTGTTCATAAGTATCTATTCAATGAATGAATTGAGGAGGGGGTGAATGGATAAACTCTAGGATACTCTGAAGACTGTTACTTGAGTGAGTTGGTCTTGAGGGAGCCGTAGGAATGTGCGGAATATTTGCGTGCTCACACATAATTTATTTTGTATAGATTTGTACAAAAAAGATGAGGTTTCCTTGGTGTGCCTTTATTGTCCTTCTGAGCAAACACTATTTTATAACATTAATTTTGGCTCGCATCAATAATATTCCTTAACATTCAGGTTCGGATTTAGGGATTTAGCGGAGGTTTCTTGCCCTCCTGCTCATTGCATGCAAAACACATTAAGCTGTGATTCTATTTTTCTTCTCTTCTTGCAGGGAACTGGTAAGTATTTACAGGAACCATTATATCTGTTGGCACGACAATATATTAAGCTTAAAATAGTCAGAAGAATAGCAGGACTACTAGTCCAAGCAAAGAATTACACAAGATCTCGGTTTGGAATGCACTCTAAAAGACAGAGGAGGAGTGGATGATTTACTGAAAATATTTTACCCCTTTCCCCCAATCTTTCTGCTCTATCATACTTGAATAAAAACATAATTCAATAAAAACATTTTCATCCCACAGATCTAAGAAGTAAATAGATCTGTGGTAATGTTTGTGGAATGTGGTAGAAGCCTGGCACTTGATTCTCCTTTTAGTATTCCTGAAATAGTTTACATCATCTGCTCTCCTTTTGTAAGGCATTTTAGAAATAGAATTTTCTGGTCCAGACTATTGAATGAGCCAAACCCTCTGCTGCCCAAGTACAATGCAACATGGACTTCGTACGGCAAAAGGTTATCACCATCTGTATTGTATCAAGCCTCTGATTAGCTTGTATAAATATCTGGCAGGGAAGTAAGCTCCCCTTGTCCAGCAAAAGTCATTAGAATGATAAAAATGCAGGGTTGTGTAACATTGTTCTAACACCCGAGATCCATCACCATTACACAAGACTGCAACCCCACCCCTACCCCCCAAGGCAGGCCACAAGGGAACTGTTTTGAAAAATGGCCTTGAAAGAAGAAGAGAGGTCACCACAAATCTGACGTGGGGACTATATTTACCCTTGGGTTCCATTAATTAAAATACATGTAGATAAAATACCAACAACCCTCCGGCTCTCCACCATGGCCCCACTTGCCTGAAGAGAAGCTCAGAAGTCATCTTTGAAACTGTTTAAGTTGATACCTATTGTGACTCTATCAGAGCCACTCTCTTCCAGGGAGCCAGAAAGTAGTAAATACAGTCAGTGTTTCAACTTGTTTTCCACATAAATTTTTTTCCTTGTTAGGAAACGTTAAGTACAAATAAGACATCGTGAGCTGCTTCTAATACTTTCGACATCCTTCAAATTCTAAGATTTCACCAAGCTGCATCTGTTAGCTCATATTTTTCATTTGAATACTCAAATATTCTTCAATTCAAGCAATGTTTACGGTCCCGTACTTTTGCATAACATTGCTGGGGAAGTTCTTCATCTGTTGGCTCATCATTTTCTGGACTTCCAATATTCTATCCGTTTTTTTCATGTTTATCTCCTCTTCCTTCCTTTGGAGCTTGGTAGAAATGTCTGAAGCTTTTGTCCCCTACCACTGTTTGTGCTTTATGCATGCTTGTGTCTCTTCCTTTGCCCTTCTAATTAAGAATCAATTGCAAAAAAAAAAAAAAAATCAATTGCATTTTATTTCTCTTGCGACAATATTTCTTTATCTTGCATAGTCTTTCTTTCTTCCAGTTTCCCAGCCCAGTATGTCCTCATGTCAGTCTGTAGTCTATCCCCTTGTTGTTTTCTTTAAAGATTTTATTTATTTGTTCATGAGAGACACAGAGAGAGAGGCAGAGACACAGGTAGAGAGAGAAGCAGGCTCCACACAGGGAGCCCAATGCAGGACTCGATCCCAGGACCCCAGGATCACGCCCTGAGCCAAAGGCAGTCACTCAACTACTGAGCCACCCAGGTGCCCCTAGTTTAACCCCTTGTATCTCATCTTCATTTCACTGTGCTTTCTAGGATCTTGTTCTATTTTTCATAGGGAATTCTTGTACTTTGTATCTTACATTCTATATTTTACTATATATAAATACTATATATATATATATTTACATATAAATACATATTTTACTATATATATATGTGTGTGTGTGTGTATATATATATATATATATATATATATATATATATATACAGATAAAGCATCTGATCAAATAAAGTATTATTTGAAAACCAGGGGATGCCTGGGTGGCTTAGCAGTTGAGCATCTGCCTTCGGCTCAGGGTGTGATCTTGGGATCCCAGGATCGAGTCCCACATCAGGCTCCCTGCATGGAGCCTGCTTCTCCCTCTGCCTGTGTCTCTGCCGCTCTCTCTGTGTCTCTCATGAATAAATAATTTTTTTTAAGGTAGAAGCTTTTCAAAGAAGCTGGAGGGAGAGGTTCTATCAGACAGCACAAGTAAAATAGATAGAACCTCATCCCAGGAGAAAAAATTACCAAAAGCCAAGAGCAGGCCCATTGAAATAGTCTGTGAACCCAACAACTG